TTGGTTATGAAATTTGAAGTTCATAGTTCTTACTGATCGAATCTTGTCACGGCTTGAATTCATACTGCTTGACCAAGACAAAGGAGTTCTTTGTTCTCGGTTGGATATCTCTTGTCCAAAGTCACCATAGAACATGGTCTCCTCTCATTAAAAATCGGAGAATGACGTTCGGTGAATTATATTTCGTCGCGGGAACATTTCCGATGAAACATTAACATAGATCTTAATGAGCTTTAAAAAAAATTTCTAGTGGAAATTAATACTGGGTTTGCTTTCTGTATATAATGATATCCTAGAAATTAGTCAAGGATTTCCTCTTTCCTCTAGGGAGAAGAGATAGTAAATTGTATTAATAAAAAGCAAAAGGAAGATGATTAAATGAAACAATGTATGGAAAAAATGTCCCTGTTAGTACTTGCACAACAAAAATATGAGGAAAATAATTGGTTATATGGCCTCATCATCCTTCTCATGAGAATTTGCGAATGTTTTCTGAAAGATGTATAGAATACTCTTACACCAAATTCATAGATATGGCATTTAGTAAAAACAAGCTTAAAGCAGACATACGCAACATGTCTTAGGAGGCATGAATTTACCAGGGTCATTTTTCAATGATCTTGTACTTATGTACCAATTTTCACCATCTCTCCCCATTTACTTAACAACTTAGGGTGCGTTTTTTTTATTGAAAACTTCATGACAAAGGAGAATATTTTTCATGAAATCATTTTCAATGAAAAGGGTTTAGGGAAAATGATTTCCTTTTTACCAAAAGGAGAAGTTGTTATCCTCAACCTAAGCTTATTGTTTTCAATCCATGGAAAATGTTTTCGTAAATCAATTAGTTCTCCGTCATCTAATAACCTGAAAATTTTAAAAATAAGTTTCCGAAACAGTTTTCCTTCAAACAAACGGATCCATAGTCTCTAGACTTATTTTGTTTTGCTTTATTATTACATGGCCGGATCATCATGCATTGCAATCTAAGAAGCTTAGTATCCAATTGTCATCACATTGATTTTGTTCATAATCATAGTAATTAGTTTTCTTTATTATCTACGTAAAATCATTTGAACGCATTATTAGAGGCTACAACTCACATTGGCATCGTGTCATTTAATTACCTACTTTCTTTTCTTTTTTTCTTTTTTTCTTTTTTTCTTTTTTGGTGAATGCAAGAGGTTAGCCCAATGGGATGGACTTTATGATCTACAGTCAGCGATCTACCATTAATAATGGAATCGATCAAATTGGCATTGAACTTGCATACTCGACTTGTTTCTTTTTCCTATCATTTATCAAACTTAATTGAAAAACGGTTCTTAAGATTAATTGGTATTAGTCGTCCTAACTCCGTCACCGAAAGAGGATGCAGACACTCTGATATCTCCTTACGTCGCAATTCATGTTGCATATGTCTAATCTAAACACTGGTGTTTGATTTTGATAAAGTTATTTGACATGCTTTGTCATATACGAAGTTATACAGATTGAGCCACCGAAGAGGCTACCTCGTGCGGATGCACTATGATCATGATAGTTGGTCTGGATACCGCTAACTAAGACATGACTATTAAGATATTTGCATGAAAGATGTATAGTTCAAGATTCCAATGTAGTAGATAAAGTTCAATCGTCACATAAACAGTACATAAGTGAAAGTTCAAGGATCACGTATGTCATTACAAAAAGATAAAAAGGAAGATAGCCCCGCTACCTTCTCTTTCTTGGTAGAGGGTTGTGTTACCCTTTGCTAATTCTGGCAGGTCACACGATCCTTTGCGGGAGTTGTTAGAGGTTAGGCGACTCAGTGGGAGTTGTCACAGAGTTTGCCTCCTCTATTTAGGTTAACGACGGTTACAGTTTTCAAACTTTTGCTCATTGTTCAATGTTATCCCCCAATATATTTTTTTTGAGTGTCTCTCTGAAGTTATAAAAAGCGGTTCAATGTGATCCTCCGTTGAAATCATTGACAAAATTTACTAATGTGGACAGAATATTCTATTTATTTTAAAAATAAAAAATTATTTTTGTTCAATTTAGTCCCCATACTTTGTTTATTTATTAGATTTATCCCAGAACTATTTTCTTATTCTGTCTCTATTGCATCATGTCAAATTTAGATTTAATCTCAATACAAAATATTTATCGATTATGTCACCATTAAAACCTAAAAATACACGTTAAACCATATGAGTTACCAAATACAAAAAGGATAAAGATATAAATTCTTTTATAAGAATGTTTACTTGTGTTTACACGTCGTGAGAATCTCTACATGTAAATAAACGTATCATGTTAGCACAAGGAACATGTTAAATTACTTAACTAAATGAGTTCAAGTGCGTCATAAACAGGTAAAAAATTCAATTTATACCCAATATGTTTATTATTCACTACAATTAAGCCTATATGAACATATTAAACACGTGTAGTGTGGATATCTTGTCAATGGGTTGCGTCGAAAATTACCAGTTTTATATAAGAGTAATCGGGGTTTATCGTGTAAACTATTTGATGATCCTCACCATGCTCAAGTGAAGGCTATTAAAGAAAAAGAACCAAAATGTAATAATTTAAACATGAAATTGAATTAACAAATAATTTTTGAGGATGAGATTGAACAAGAAAATGATAAGTTAGTAACTTTAACGACCAAGTTTGCAAATTTCCTTCGATCTTTAATTGAATGGCCACATTGAACAAAAATTTTAAACTTGAAGGATGACATTGTCATTATCCTTTTTTTGTATTATTAATCTGATGTCTTAATCTCTTATTTTACCTAGGACCGATATGTGGTGGACGCAACGTTGGCACTAAAATGAACACCCCTTAACGTTTTTACTTGGAAAGTGATCGGATTTCGATTACAATGCGTTAAAACGGAATTGGCCATTTCATATACGGTTGAAGAAGAGAAAGGAGAAAAGAATGGAAAGACGTCCAATTTATATCTCCATGGCTATTTTGTTCTTGTACTTCTTTATGGATTAAAAAGAATGAGAATTAACCTCAGTAACAAGGCGTTTGACTCGTTAAAGGTTGCTATCATCGACAATTGACTCGTGTTCCAGAATGCTCCTTAAAAAACATATCGTAGCATACAAATTCATTTTGTTTCACCGATAAAGGATTAATATATTTATTGGAAAATAAAATAGATGTCATCAGGACAAATATCGCAGGATTACAATATGGCAAAGAAGAAAAATATATGAGAAAATGAAAAATTAACCAGAAAAGAATATTTGGGATTTGAGTGCTCTGATTCTGCAATGCAACTCTAGGGCCTTTCGGACAATTTCATGGGAATCAGCGAAATTGCGCCAAATCTATGATGACCAAAAAGCGAGAGAATCTCTATCACTTGATGTCACTTCCACAAAGATTTCCATCATGGGATTCTCTGTTTCCTCCTTATAAAAACATGGGGTCGGTCTTTCTTGTTCCTACCACTTCACCATAGCCAAGGTTCACCATACTTTAAAGCCTTCATGGTGATGGTGATTCTAAGCCTGAATTTGTGTAGAATTTTCAGCCATTCAAGCTTCTTCTTTACTTTTGATTTTGTAGGCCAAAAAACCATGGAACAGTTGGGGGAGGAATGTGTCTTCCTAGGGATTGGAGGAGCTTACACGAACACGGTCCACTTTAGATTAAAAAGGGAGGGGTACCACCACTTGAAGCGAATCTTGACGTAAAGAAGATGAATTTTTCTAGTGTTGAATCTTCTCGGAGAAAACATTGGAAGGATCGTTCTTCGCTATGGAATGTTCCCAAAGTTGCGTATTCGCGTACTAGCCAGCGATGATTGCACGATATCTTGTGCTCGAGGTATATGCTCTTAACATGTTTGACGTAATGTCGCTGGTGATTTTATCTACGCATGATGGTTAGCTCTGTTTTTCTCTAGTTATGGCACTAGATCAGACTATTTGTCTCTTATCAGGAAGTGACTGAACAAGTTGAGTCGCTTATGCTTAGCTAAAGCATCGTCAATATGTGACCGTCTTCGAGTATCTGAATAAGTAGATCTTGATCACGCTAACTCTTTACATGAGTAGCTTGCGAGCAGCGAGTCTAGTGGAACATTTTATGTATAATGTACTTTTTAGACTTCTGCTATATTCAAAGAATGTGTTTTGCGACGGTAACAGAACCAATTCGTGATGTAGCATGCTATACTGAATCAAATTTCCACAGCTTTATTAAATCGTACGTGAAAGATACCCCTCCAAGTTACTTTGGTACAGTACAACTTGCGAGATATGGGTACAGATTTTAGCTTTCGGTAGGATGAAAGTGTGCTTTGTTGTAGTAGCCGAGAGTAGTGTAGGCAAGGTGATTCACATTATGAGCTACTGCAACACTTCTAAGTTGTTAATGTTGCATGTGGGAGGATTTGGCAATTTTAGCTTTAGGAGCATATGCTGTTCGGTAGAGATGCCGATTTGGACGATGAGGGCTCTATATTCTCTTTATAAATGAGCAATTGAAAACGAAAGACAGACTTGCTTCTCACCTATTACCTGACTTGACAGATGAGAAATGGGTTAGTGAATTCAGCTGGCTTTGGGCACATGAGATCTTAAATGGTGGGAGGTGCTGCCTTGAAACCTAGGCTGTTTCTTTTGATTAGATTTTTTTTTTGTTAAAGATGTTTGTAATTGCAAATTTTGCTTTGAGATTAGTTTGCAAAATGATAAAGAAATTGGTATTACATTTTTGCTATATACACCAGAGTAATTTACATCTTGTGAGGCCTCAAGACCCATTTGGTTGTGAAATGCAGCCGTAACTGGGCCAGGGAGCGGACAACACAGCTAAAGTACTAATCTCGATGAACCAAAGTGCTTAAATGTTCAACCACGCTTCACTCTAGTTTAAGTTTCTTGATGTAGTCTTTATGACCACAATGTAGATCAATTTGGTCATTTTATACTTCTGCAAGAATGAAATCTTAATTCTTTCCTAAAATCGGCATGGATAGCATATTCTCTATTGAGCATATCATTGTTTTAATTCAATAGTATTCTCCTTTTATATAGTCGTTCAGTCTCTTCAATTCCCCGCTCTGTTGCTCTACCACTGCTCGTACTACATCCACAATTGAGATCATGCCAACTATCTTTCCGTCGATAACTGGAACGTGTCTTATGTGGTGCTCTGTTACAAACACACAGATATGTTCTCATGGACTGGCAAAGTATCAAAAAAAGAAAAGACTGCTGATCGGGCCTTTATACACTGCAACAAGCTGAGTACCTGTCATAAGCTTCATTGCTTTGAGGATGTTCGTATCCGACGAAACTGTTATCAAGTTATTCTGAAAGGAGTAATCATACAAGGTAGTTCAGACATAACTAGTGTTTGTTGTGTCACTTGAAAAGTAGGACAATTTGTGAGAGGGCCGAACTCACCTCGTCAGTCATGATCTCCCCAACTCTGGTCTGCTTTGAGGACCTTCCCTGTGCAATTATCTTCTGCAAATAATCTGTAGAATTGCTTACATGACATCAGATTCTTGTCAAATAGCTTTTGTTCATGAAATTATTGTTATTTCTTGAATCTCTTTTTTCTTTTCCCTCTTTAAGTTTGTGGCTTGGGAGGGGAGTTGATGGTATTGGATTTCTCAAAGTGTAGAGTTGACCTCTCTGAGTTTGTACCATACAATATTCCATATAGCACTCATATTACTTTTCAATTTCTTGCACTTGACAAGATTATGTGGATGAGTTAAATTAATGAGCAATTTGATGAGTGCTCAACTATGTCATCTGCAGCCGTAGATGAAAGAGATTACTGGGATCACCTCTTTCTGTGATGATTCCTGCAATCAGTTGTTCTTGTCCTGGCTTTAACACAACCAATGACCCGATATTGTTCTGAGCCATCTGCATCATTGTCACGATATTATTCGTAAATCAGATGTATATTTAATGCACGAGAAATTTCATACAGCAAGATGTGGAAAGACATACATTCTTGACCGCATCGTAAACGGTGTCGTTGGACCGGCATGACAACCAAGCCCCAGTTTTTTCTTCACCCTTTGTCACTAGGACATCAGCTACCGTCACATTTTCAAGACCCTTTTCGCGGAAATCTGTAGAGGAGGAGACAGATCCAAACCGAGAGAAGATGCTATCTTTATTGGCTGTTACTCTCGTGTGCCAATCTTTCAGAATAGCATTCTTGAGAGTCTCCTGGCAAGAACGGATGGCACGGGCTATTCCTTGCATTTTGATACTGTTGATTTTGGGTTTAGGATAAAATTGGAAAGATATTTTTGACTGTAACGACAATATATAGGCAGTCTCAATGTTGGAAAGCTAGCACTAATTATCACACTCGTCGAACTCATTCTTAGTTGATGTCTAGATTAATAGGAACAAACAAAGAAATTTTCATGCTATGTCTAGATTATCATCCGCTCAAAAAGATCTGACAGATTTGGTTAGGAACAAAAATTGACGAGTTGAATCATAGATTCAAAAAGTTTAGTAGTTTGATCGACAGAATCGGTGTTGACATTCTTTTAATTGAAGTAGCACCAGTATGTAATAGACTTCTGATGCTGCGTTTGGCAGAGAAAATTGCAGTTAAATTAAACTTAAACTGCATTTACGTTCTTAAAACGCGCTGATTCTTCAACGCCTTCCATCATCGGATGATGAATTATAAAGAAAGCACATTTTAGACATCAAACATACCTTGTAAAGCCTTGTAATCTCGATAGAGTCCCGAAGATTTTCAAGTTCTTGCCCTGTAGTATTTCCCCGGGAAGAAAAAGGAGCAACTAATTTGACGGATGAATTGAAGGACAGATGAGGTTTAAATTGGTCAAACAGAAGCTACATTGACATTTTCATGATTCGTCTGCACACCTTTTCTCCAGAATATCTTGTGCAGGTCATTTTGCGTGCAGTTGAGTTTATGTGAAGTTCTTTTCTTGGACGAGTAGGTGAAGATTTAGAGCTTGAGTATTAATAGCTTGCTTCTCTATTCGGGCATAAGCGCATGAAGAAAGCATTATATTATGTTATTATCATCTTGATGTGTAGACAGTTCCATGAGACAAGATGGGCCTGCACAAATAGAGAAAGGAAGAGAGGGTCTCCTTGGGCCTGCGACTCGTGTACGTACTTGAATAGTTTTACTACGATAAGAATAATATCATAAATGGTTCCTAAACTATAGGTGAATGTTCAATGTAGTCTTCAGACTATATGAAAATGTTTAAAAGTTCAAGGACCACAATAAACATTAGACCAAAGTTCACGGACCATATTGCATAAATCAAAAGTTCAAGGACGATATTGCATATTTGACCAAAGTTTAGGGACTCAATTGATCAAATTAACAGTTAAGGGAAGACATTGCATATTATATCACAATTCAGTGACCGTTTAAATCATTTTCCCACTAGAATAATGCCGGCGCGATGTAGCACGGATTGATCAAGTGAACATGTGATGAAAGTGCAATTATATCGCCGTAAAAGTTACCCAAATACCAAAAAAATGCACCAACTTTAAGCCTTGGACTATTTTGGCCAAAAACTTTGTAATGTCCCGGAGAAAGGCACGTATGTACTCGTGCCCAAGGGACAATTTTGGTACAAACTTCTAAGCATCCGAAAAACTGCATGTCCTTATGCATATGGAACAATTTTGGCCTCCATTACATTTGCCATTGATAATTATTGGTGAATTATCAATCTGTCGATAGATAAAAGATCTACGATGAACAAGACAACATCATCTCGATTATACTTAGCAATGGTGTCAGCGAGATGCAATAGCAAGTTGGCCAATTCAATAAGGTAGGACCCAATCCTGTCCAAATCGTAACTAGTTAGAAAAAAGTTTGCACGAGTTGTTGCTGGTTAGACACGATGTACTGATGTAGGTGAACATAGATACGCACCAAAGTAAATCAACTATATCCCAAAATTTGGAAGAGTAACTCTATACACTAAAAGCTTACTACAATTTTTTAACTAAATGACAAGGCAATCCATGTGACATGTGTCATGTCATAAAAGATTTTCACCGCCAGCAATGAAGATAAATACTATAGGTTACAAATCACAAACAAGGCAATATCAATTGTAAAGAAACTCTACGTTTCCGATTCTACTATTCCCTCTTCCCAAAGTTGTTTTCCCTTCAAGCAATTGTCACAGCAACCATGACATTTATTGGAAATCCAACGATAGTGCTCGAAGCTCTTCACTTCTTTTGAAGTCACGCAGACCAAAAGCGCGAAAATACCTTCGACATTGATCTTAACCAGTTCACCTAATAAATGGCGTCTAACAATCTATTTATGCTTACAAATATAGAAAGGAAGTTGATTCTTCTCAATTTAAAATCACAGCATCGTTCTACACGAGGGATTCCTATTCTTCAGTTCTTTATTTATGTTCAAAGTTCAATGTATAATAACCATCACTCGCTCTTTTCTATTGATATAAGTGTCACCCGATTGACTGAAAATTAGTATTCGAGATATGCACTAAAAATATATTGTAGTCCGACAAGAGTTCAACCAAACCAATTTCTTTCGCCATCTTCTTTATCCGCAAAAGCAGAAAATCTCTATTACTCATATGAAACTTATTTTGAATTTGCTATACATTGATGACATGACAAGTGCCAGATGGGCTACTGTTTCGCTGAAGTTGGATTGTCAACGAAGTGTCTCACCGAAATTCGTTTTTCAGCTCTTATAAGATTGAGACGGATTCTACGGTGATTTCGAGCATAAGTTGTATCAATGGAACACAAGAAACATATATGCTTCAACAGAATTTAATCAACGATGAAGCCCAATGAAAGAAAAAGTGCGACGATAAAGATACAACATCGGAATTTAATCGATGACGAAGACAATTGAAACTACGACCAAAGTACGAGAATTGAAAAATATTTAAATTGCCGAAAAGTAGAGGTATAGATAAATTCGTGAGAACGTTGAGTTCTGTAATTGATTGGGGATTTTTCACAAAAAGTGCACTTAGGGTATTTATAACCCTCTTCAGACAATTACAAACGGCTGTTACACATGACGATTACTAATTTTTGAAAGAACAAATAACTCCTTAATCCTTTTGGTGGTTACTGGAAGTTACTTCACGAACACTTATTCAAAAGAAATTAAACAAATCCTAAATCAACGGATATGGACACAACCACCCAATGGTTATCTTTGTGTCAATTGCTCGCCATCGATATCTATGACTTTATCAAGATACTTCAATACTCTCGTCGTTAACTTCACATTGTGTTGTCAATGACTTCATTAATGAGTTGTCGATTCCCTTCTAGTTATCGATAATTTTGTTAATAAATGACCAAACTCTGTTTTCATCGACTAAGTCTATTACTTGTCAATAATAACCAAAAGTCGGTCATTTTTTGATGTAAACAGATGCCCTTTTTTAAAAGAATTGAATAATTCATCAATCATTCAATTATTTTAAATTAGATAATCAAGAGTCATCATGCCTCCCCTTACTATTGGCAAATTTGATTTTTCCTTGAAGAATCTTGTCTTGGTTAGATTCATCATCCGACACGTTTTTCCATGAAAGTCACGTTTTGTGTAAAATCTTTATGTGGCCCTCTATTTCCATTGCTCATACTTAGACACCCTCATTGCCAATTAAAATAAATTGGCAAAAATTTGGCCTTCAAATTTTTCTCTAAAAATTAGGTTTCAATCCATTGAAAGCTAAATTTATGAATTCTTTCTTGGATAGTGAAGTAAGGCATCTATTTCTAGCATTTTTGAATGGAGCAACAAACTGATCGATTGACTCGTTATTGTATTGATAGAGTGTGACCAAACAGCGATCGATACCTTATATATCATTCTATAAAATTGAGAATGGAATTGTCTATTATAACATGTCTCGAGTTTGAGCCCGATAGCCGAAACCCGACCCGAGATTAAATGTTATTTGTGGATATTTGAATATTCCGAATTGGATATTTTATGGATGTTCGACATCGACCAATACATTATACAAAAATTACTTTCGTGGTGAAGTCGTGATCAAGAACGGAAGTTATTCCGTGTTACAGTAGGCCATGATAATTACACGGTGGACATTCAAAATATTGAGCAATGAAAGATGGGCATATAATTTTTATTTGCGACTGGATCTTTGACAGTGAAGAGAGGACATTGAAGAGGAAAGATTATTTGTCTCCTTTGTTGCCGTGTGGGAAGAAGAAATAAAATAAAATAAAAGGAAAGCTTGATTGGATTTTGTTTCCTAATCTCAATAGGCGTGGACTTCTTCGACCGATTAATCTGGGACTTCTTCAGGCGGTGGGTTAATAAGTATACATACTCTTAAGGGTTTGTTTTATATGTTTAGTTGAAAAGCAGAAAGTAATAAGCGGCGGCATATCTGGTGTGGGATTGGATCCTTCGTTATTTACATCCTGGTGCCGTATGTCTTCTTGCGAATTACATCTTGGCACGTGTTTGAGCTAATAAATTCTTGTGGTAAGAAATTTGTGTATAATTTATTCGTGAGATTGAGAAATTATTTCGCAAGGAATTGTTGGGCTAAACATTGTGTGAGTTATTTGGTATAATTGGGGCTTGAGAAATACCAAGAGTATTTGAGTGATTCGAATGTGGTTGTAATATCCGTTGTATCGCTTGTTTTATAGTGGAATTCGTTGTTGCTCTCCTCATGGATATAGGTCACTATAACCGAACAACGTAAATTTGATGTCCGATTTATTTTCTTATTTGGTCAGATTTATTGTTCAATCGCTTGCTTCAACAACATTGTCTCTCTATTTATGCCCAATTACACACCGAATTAGGTGATAAATCATTATACCAAGTAAAAATAGTTTTCAACAAAGTCAAAGGAAATAACCTAAGTCTTAAAAACTTATTTGTCCCTGCTTCTCTATATTGGGCTATACTGTGCTCAATAGTCAATTGTTCATCTTCGCCAGTAAATATGACAAATTTAGGGATTTCAAAGCCTCTTGGAAAAGGCTGGTTGTGATTTCCTAAAAACAGGTATGATAACACCTCTATGTAGCCCCAATCATTGTTGAACTTCTTCGATAAATTGTGCTAGATTCAATTGTTGATTTGGTTGGCCATTTTGCCCCATATGCAATAACGCTGGTCTTGCTAGATTGTGAACGTTAATTGGCATGTTAGGCCTAATAGAAATATTCACATTGGGTGGAATTGGCCTTACGTCTTCAACAATTGTCAATTGACTGGCCTATTAACCAGTTTGATTTGTCAAATTAGGGTTAATACCACGAAAAACCCCAAACTAGTATATCTATGACAAATTTACCCCAAACTGGTACACCTATGACAAATTTACCTTACGTTAGTTTCCGTTAAATTTTAACTTAAATTGTTGAGTTGGATAATACGTAGAAGTTGACATTTGTTCCAATTTAGGGTTTTATCCATCTGTTTATCACATGTATACTAATTTGTGATTTTTAGTGGTATTGATCCAATTTAACGAAAGGTAAATTTGTCATAAGTGTACTAGTTTGGGATTTTTGTTAGTCAAAAAATTAGTTTTTAGATAAATTTGTCACAGATGTACCAGTTTGAGGTTCTTTGCAGTCAAAAAATTAGTTCAAGGTAAATTTATCACATATGTACCGGTGTGGGGTTTTTCGTGGTATTAATCCACCAAGTTATTGTCATCAATTTTGTTATTTGGACCAACATCAGCCCGATTATTCTCATCATTGTGATCTTGTTTAGAAGATTTAGGCCTTTGCATAATTCTTATAGGGGGTTGAATATTTTGACCAACATTATTGGCATCAAAAAATGAAGAG